GCTGCCGACAGATCTAACAACACCAGTGCTGCCACACCACCCCGATCCAGATGTCTCAGGAGATCGTCAGTCAGGGCGACCAAAGCCGTCTCTGTCCCGTGACCTGGGCGGATACAACCTCCGGTAACCCTAGGCTATGTTTTGACTTGGTGTTTTGCACTTTGCTTGCTTTACTTTGTCTTCTCTGGTACCTGGACCTCGGACTGTGTTTCAGGCTTCCGTGCCCTGCCTGGCTCGCCAGCACAATCGTGACAATAGGTGTGCCGGGTGGGGTGTATATAGTTGGCCTTGCAGGGCCGTTTGTCTTGTTGTGAAGTATAATAAACGCGTCTGAACGCATGTCATAGTCTGAGTCCTCCTAAGTCCTGAGGAGGATGAGCACCAGTCAACAGGAGAGTTTGCACCTGGAGCTGTGCCGGCAGAGCCAAGCACAAGCACCACGCCTCCTGATTCACCTCCACCGGTGGCTCATTTGTGAGAGCAGAGGGGATGGGACATGGCAACCCGGTGCAAGGAGGTGCGCATGCGAGGTCGATGTACTGTAAGCCCGGAGTACTGACTGAAGCCAGGACCCTGTTAGCGGCCGGTAATTGGCTAACAAGCGGAATGGGCTCTTTAGGCGGCTCTCTCAGATCCACAATTCGTGCTGGCAACTAGTCTCTTGGATGCACGAGAACGAGCATGAGAAAATTGGTATAAGATGTTTTTTCGATGGTATATAACTCCAAAAGTTATCAAGAAGATGGATAAAAACTACAAAGGAATTTGCTGGAAATGTAAAGAGATGGATGGTACCACCTATCATATGTAGTGGTCCTGTCAAAAGACTAGCATATTAGTGGTTTGTCCTTACTATTTGATGTTCTTTTTTCTAGTTTCCTCTTTCTCCCATCTTTTATTCTGTATTCCTATCTTAAATATTAGAATAAAAATTATTTTAAAAAAATAACAAAGGAAAGGCCTAGATCAGGGGTTGTGACAGTAACTTCAAAAAAGTTGAATGTGGTCAGTGATTTGGTAGTCAGTTAATCAGTGTGCTTCATTTTCTGCCCTCCAGGAGCCTCAGCCAATCACTTTCAAATGGTGAATTAGAATGTTGAAAAGAAAAAAAAAGGGAGGACTTTGGCAGTTTAGTGAGAAAGGGATTAGGAGACTTGCTGTTTAGGCAAAGGAGTCCATTAAGGACTTTTGGTATTTTGAAGATAGGTAGGGTTTAGGTGCTGTTCCTTTAAAAATCAATTAAAAGCCTCTCTGTTTCAGTTATGAATCAAGTCAAACCAGAAACCTGCTTTCTCAGGCCACAACTCTCCAGTAATTTTGTTACTTGTAATACTGAGAGGGATGGAGAAAAGAAAAACAAAGGAACTACCAAGCCTCACATACCACTGTAATGGACCTGTTTTTTAGATGTTTTCATCAAGACTATTGTGTGGTCCCCTCATACAGGCCTGGTGAATGCTGGATGGCACCCTGAGTCCAGGCATTGCACTCATTGAGTACTAGAGGACTAGGAGGTCCCCCAAACCCTCATTATAAAAATACAAGTATTTTTAAAAATGGAGGATGTAAACTTTAAAAATAGTTTTTAGGTCTGGAGACAAGGGTGTCATCACATCATTCTTTGGTTTAATTTTTGTGAGCCATCTCAAGAACATAATGTTAAGTCTACAGGGCTCTTTTTGTAGCAGGAACTCCTTTGCATATTAGGCATATTAGGCGACATACCCTTAATGTAGCCAATCCTACATTAGGGGTGTGTCACATAATATGCAAAGGAGTTCCTGGTACAAAAAGAGCCGGGGTTAAGAGTGTTGACTATAAGTATTTGAATAAGTATTCTTGCACAGCCTGCAAAAGCTGGCCCATTTTTATCCCATAGTTGCTACTCTCTGGATTTAAGTTATCAGTGCATATGGACTGCACAAACTGGCTATGCATTGGATTCAAAGCTTCTCCTATCATGTCTTGGCACGCAGATATAGAATTGGACCTTGACTGTGCACATATCTCTGAAAGTAAATGCTGTTTAGTGGGGAGGGAGTGTGGCTTACTCCAGAGCACGATGGAAGACAGTGGTCCATGGGGTCACGAAGAGTCGGACTCAACTGTGCGACTGAACAACAACAAGAAGTGTGGCTCAGTAGTAGAGTATCTGTTGTACATGCAGAAGGTCCCAAGTTCAATATCTGGGTTCTCCAGTTAAAATAATCAGGTAGTAAATGATTTGAAAGATCTCTACCTGAAACCCTGGAGAGCTGCTACCAGTCAGATAGTTTCAGAGGATAGCCATATTGATGCTGTTAGATTTGAGTCCAATAGCACCTTAGTGAACCACAAGATTTTCAGGGTGTAAGCTTTCAAGAGTCAAAGCTTCCTTATATACCCTGAAAATCTTGTTGGTCTCTAAAGTGCTGCTGGACTTGAATGTAACGGTATACCAGGCAGAGTAGACAGACTCAGTAAGGCAGTTTTATGCGTTCATGTATGCCGGGGTTCGCTGGGGATTTTCCACAGCTCTCCAAGTGGGTGCAATGGCGCGGTGTCTTCTCCATCCCAAAGAGTCATGGGATACATTCCAGGGACGCACATGGTCCGTATGTGCAACGGCAGGCCCAGGCCAGCCTATTTCTAGGCAAGCATGAGATGCAGAACAAAGCAACACACAACATACAGCAATCCCTGAATACATAATGCATAGGTATTCATGCTAGAGACACACATAAGCAGCATCACCACTATACAGAAATACAAACATAAGCTCATATCGTTACACATGGGGTTTTACTCTAAGCTAAGTCAGACCTTCAGGAAACATTACTGTCCCTTACTCCTGTATATTTCAGAGTGGGACTGCTGTTTTTACAATGACACCATTATTTTTTAGAGTCCTTCCTCTGATACTCTTCCCAGTTTAAAAGATGATTATATCAAGGAGAAATCAGGGTCATTCTCTACTGGAGTAGTTCAGATGTCTCTTGTGAAGCTTACTGGATGGCCTTGGGCAAGGAGCTGTCTTTTGGCCTCACAACAGAGGTGGCATGAGGATCAAATGAGGTAACCCTAGGTATTCACTCAGCTTCTTGGAGAAAGGCCAGGATGCAACTATGAGACAACGAATATTGCTGTGTAGTGAAAAGCAGACACAAAAGAGGTATGTAGGGCTAATGTCACATTTGAGGAAGGCTTCTCTGACTTTGTGTTTTAAATAGGGCATGGGGCAAGGTATAAATATGGGAAAATGTATACAATAGCACATGGCAGATCTTTTAACTGTCTGTCAGAAAACATAGGCCTATTCATGCAGAAGGTTATTACCTGACATCTGTTTTATCTCCCGTGCCTTCCATCAATTGTTACTTTTTTGTTTTTATTATTTAAGCCCAGCTTTGAAGCTGTGCTAATTGTTAACATTGGCTAAATGTCTGTGTAAATGACTGTAGCAAACTCCACATGCTAAGTCCATAACCGTTAGATTAATATGAGGTACTAGCTCTGTACTGGTGTACCGTTTTAATGGCTGTATGAGTTCAGTCACATACAATGCTTTCAATGTCTCATTATAATGGTATTTACTAGTTCTCAAAAGGGCTGCTGAGGAAAGTTGAAATATAATCTTGTGTTTTATATGTGCCTTTGAAAAAAGACAATGAAATCATTTTCTTCTTAGCATCTACGTTCTTACAACTTGGAGAACAACTTCCAGATGAAAATGTACCATGGACTGTGTGATCTGTAGCAGTTTAGGGAAATTTTACTGCTGCTGTATGTCCCATACAACTAAAATCAAAACTTTAAAGGGTGTTGTACCAATAACAGTCTTGACATACAAAGAGAAATGGTAAATAACCTTACATAATGTGATCTAACTTTTGGGATTTTTTTTCCTTTTCTTTCACAGAACATGGAGAAAGTGTTTGTGGAATTCAATCATCAAGAATTGTTTGAGTTCTATAACAAGGTCTGTATTGGTATTTTTACAGACTTTCTAACATTTTGATAACCTTTCTTTTGTTTTTAATCTTTATTACAAATCCTTTGGTGCTAGTAGTTCTTGCTGTGAACTTTCCTTGTAAACATGTAATAGTTTCATCCCCCAAAGCACTGCCTTTCTGAATTATGTCTCATATAAAGTACTAAGTGGATACAGGTTTTAGTTTTGCTCTTAAAATGATTTTGAAAAGGTAATGCTTAATGTACTTTGTTCTTAAATATCAAAAGAAACCCAAGGGTAATGATGATAAGGCAGAAAACTGTTTTAGAAATATTTTAAATAAATCATGTTTATGCAAACGGGGAGCTCACCTAGTCAGAATAAACATTTTTACCTTATTGTTATATATTGGAAAATTGCATTCGATCAGCTTTGTGCATATATTAAAGAACACAAAGAACAATTTCTTTAAAATTTGTTTTTGATTAATTTAATGGGAAAACACATTTAAAAGTATGCGATTCCTGTATAGAGCAATCCTGAGCAGGTCTGTTCAATGGGGCTTACTCCCAAGAAAGTGTTCATAGGATTGCACTGTTCTTGCTCCGTGGATAGATTTATTATGTATCATTTAGGTGATTATTGTTTCTCTTCTGCGTACATGTTTCTGAATGTCTTGCATGATTTCTTTTGTTGTAGCTGGAAACTATACAAGCACAGCTGGATTCCCTTACATGATACTGTTAGAAGATTAACTTCTCCATCACATTCCTGCCATTTCAATATTTTCTATTAAAGATAGGTCAACTGTGTGCTGGAAGTACTCAAGTGATTGCTTTTGGTAAATGGCTTATCTTTTCTTTGACCAGTAATGTCAGCTAAATGAAATTTTAAGAGAACTGATGTTCTAATTCATTGCTTCGCATTTCAGCTCACAGTGTTCAAAAACAGTTTTACTATGTGTGTATATGTCTGGAGCCATGGTGGGGAAAGCGCACACTGTAATGTTTTCCAGTTGTTTTGACATGCACTTATGATGCTTTATTTTGTGGGGCACCATATGGAAGATGCCAGTTTATAGAACGTTGAGGAATGAAGGGAACATCAATGTGTTAAGAACAGAAAAAATGTATTAATTGATAACTAATGAGACATTTCTTATCATAAAACTTTGTTTACAGTAATTATACCTTACTGGTAAAAAATAAAGATAATTTTGTTCTGAATATTTTAATTTTATTTCTACCACCAATAACTTCCATTTGTTTCCAGGCTCTCAGATGATAAAGAATAGCAAGGTCTGTAGTTATTTCAGATGTCTCAGTAACTTAACTGCAAGAGAGAATTAGAGGACAGCTGGCTTCACATAGGCTAAAGAAAGTAGAAGTACAACCAAAAAACATTACAAGCAATGTATCCAGTCATCTAGACTGGCAGCATATCAGCATTTTAGCAGTTAATGTTAGTGTGTCACATTGGCTGTCTCATGTGGGACAGCCCAACTAATGGCCAGGCTGAGAGCTGGACCCAAGCATCCCCACTTGCCTGGTGGGGCCCTAGCTTCAAGGAGAGCCTTGGAAGGAGGCTGCCACAACTGAGGTCAGCACCCAGATGACCAGTGCAACGCAGACTCACCTGTGGGATCACTATGGAAAGGCGGGGCAGAGGCTCCAGCTCCTCCCTGATAAAGGAGTCAGTGGCACTGTGAATGGTCTTCTTGTCACCAGAGACAAGGATTTATTTGTTTGCTCCAGTACCCACTGGCATTCCGGCAGAGCTGGATCCTCCTACAGCAGCTCTCTGGTGCCACTCTGCCTCAGCTGGTGAGTGAGAGGAACACTGAGAGGCAAGGAGTGGAGGTAGAGCTCCTACATCATCTATAAGAAGGGGGAGAGGCAGAAGGGAGTTGTGACTGTCAAGGCCCACAGACTGCCAGACTGGGAAGAGGACAGAGTGAAGGAAAGGAAGGCCAGTTTGATAGAGGAGAGAAGGAAAAGGAAGGAGGAGGTGGTCTGCTGTGGACCCTGTCAGGGCCCTAACTAGAGAACTCCAAAATGGGGCTGAATTTAGCAGAGCTGAGTTTCTGCACAGTGGAATTCTATAGTCTGGCTGCTTTAGGAATGTTCATACTTAGACTTGTTACTTAGAAAATAAATAGAAGTTCTTTATTGTAAGAGAACTCCGTTTTTATTTTTTTGCTGTCACGTCACAGCTGACTTATGGCGACCTGGTAGGGTTTTCAAGGCAAGATACATTCAGCTCCTAGATAGGAAGCAGAGCTATCTATCGAAGCTAGGATAGAAAGAGATTGTAGAAAGCATGTCCGGCCCTCATGATAGACAAAGGGGGAATGAGAGAGGTGACTGGGAGGAAAGAACCCCCGAGAGAAGCATTTTGGATAACAAAGGAACAGCAGCAGGGAATGGACAAAGGAAAAGTCAGAGAGCACCCTATCTACCCCTAAACTTAACTCTCTACTGCTCTTCCCTGAGACTCCAAAGTCTGTGCAAGCATTGAGCGACATTACACAGTCCATTCCTTCCAATGGGCTGGGTGGAGTCCCTAAATTGGCAGGAGTGGGCAGCAACGTGGCAAAAAGCTCATTGTAACTAAGTGTACTGTGATGCACCTTGCACTTAAAATCCTAATTAAATATATGTTTATAGGGGCTGAACTAGCAAGTGAGTATAAAGGAAGGATCTTGGGGTTGTAGTATATAGCTCGATTAAAACGCCGACTCAGTATGCAGCAACAATGGAAAAGGTGAACTCTGTGAGGAAGGCTAAAGAGTCTGGCTTTTCAGTTTAGAAGAATATGAGATGACAGAGGTTTATAAAATTTGTAAGGCTGGAGAAAGCAAATAGAGTTATTTCTCATTCTAGAACATTATAACTTGAGGGCTCCCAATGAAATTGATGGAAGTACTACTTTACTCAACAAGTAAATAAATTGTACAATTCACTGCTAGATTCATGGAGAGTAGCTCCATCAGTGGCTACTAGCCATAGTGGCTAAAGGGAAGTAGTTAAACATCTGAATAGGAGGCAGCATGGGGATTGCCGCTGAGCCCTGCTTGGCCCACCCCCAACAATTGCTGGCTACTGTGTGAAATATGCTGCACTAGTTGGACAACTGGTTGGATTGAGGAGAGCACCTCTTAATCTATTTAGCTTTTATCATTTCTCACTTTGAAACTGAAAATAAAAAGTAGAAATGGTATTCTTGAAGCATAGTGAATAGCCTGTAGACCTGAAACTGTGGAGATGCATATGTGGAGTGGCTCTAATGCTGTAGTGAATGCTGAAATCTTTGCAAGTGCTGGGTCTCTGTAGGCGCACTGGAAGTCAGGTACATGCAAGGAACCTCTGGGGTTTTTATAACTGTAGATACGAACATAAAATTGTTAACTGAAATATTTTAAAGGGAATATGGCTGTAATCTGCTTTACCATGGATTCTCTTATTTAACTCATTGCCACAAAATGCCAAATGATTACTTGAAATTGTCAGTAGTCTGAGAAATGAAATCTGGAATACTTGGTTTCTTGGCAAAGAATCTATGCCATGTTGTTAAATTAATGCCGAGGCATTCCATTTTTTGTAGCCTGTTCCTGAAATATAGGAATAAGTATTCATGGAAACCACACAATTTGGGGGTAATTTAGATTTATCCAGGGCTCTTTTTGTAGCAAACTCCTTTGCATATTAGGTGACACACCCCTAATGTAGCCAATCCTCCAAGAGCTTACAGAGCTCTTCTTACAGGGGCCACTGTAAGCTCTTGGAGGATTGGCTACATTAGGGGTATGTCGCCTAATATGCAGAGGAGTTCCTGCTTATCAAAATAAAAATGCAGATATATGAATTTCAGGAAGAATTTATAGGTGAAAAGCATCTCTGTCAGACAACTTTGAAATGGTTTCAGCTATGTCATTAAAGATCTTAATCTGTTCATTTTTCTTGTTTTTAATGGGGAATTTGTCAGGCTGAGTGGGGTAAGGTCCGTTGAACTTTTTGCCTGGCTAACTGCTACTCCCAAACATAGTCCATGTGAGTTTTAAAGCTGGACTTTCCATGGAAATTATGATTGCACCCATTCAACAATAGTCTCTTAGGTGTCCTTTCTTCCAGCTTGTAATCATTATGAAGAAATCCAAGAAAATGAAAAACCAATCCAATTCGGACTCATTGGAAACAAAACCATGAGACTGATCCCCTTCACTCCCTCCCCCCTTTCCACATTTTCACTCCATTTAAAAACCTTATTTTTCCTGTATGTTTAAATCTATAATTCTACTTGCTTCACTCCAAAGAGCAGGTTACATAAGATCTGCTGATAATTTCCCAACCAGAGAGTTGTCAGGATCAGAATCCTAATTGAGTTGCTATCATTCTAAGCAATGATGGGCTGTTGAACATAATCAGCATCCCTTTGAGGGATAGTGCCACTTCAGGTTGCGTGGATGGGTGTGTGGGAATGAAATATCTGAATCTCCTTCATGTAAGACACCTGGCACATATGAAAGTAAACATTTCAGAAAAGACTAGGCTAAACTGTGACATGCTAGTTTCATATATGCAAATAACCTTTTTATATGAGGGTGCATTCAAATATTTCTCCTCCCACGTGGAGTCTGAAGTAAAACCCTCTAGCAGAAGATACTTCGCCTCATGCACAACAGTCATTTACCATTACACGTTTATTCTCAATCTGTATACAGCTTTTTCTTGTAAGAGATGACATGGTGCAGTCCTACCAACTTATCCTTTTAGGAGCTGATGTGAGGAAGCTTGTCTAGACAAATGTAATGGTAAAAACATGGCTAACAGTTTAAAGTACTTAAATATGGATCAGCTGCTTATATGTAGACAGGAGGCTAGAATTAATATGGGATAAGTTGAACAGACATTGTGTCCTAACACTATAAGGGCATTTCTGAAGGAGCTGAAACAAAATGAATCACTTCCAGATTTCTCAGTGATTTATGTTAGAGGCTCAGGTTATGTCCTCTGAAAAGGCATCAACAGCACTTTTACACTTTGTACCAGCAAGTATCAAATCTTAAGATAGTGGTGACTTTAATTTCCTGCTAAGAGGTATATAGTTCATGATCAAAGCAAGATAATATAACTCTGTATTCCCTTGAGCAAATGATATGATTCTTCTCGGTGCAAAATGATAAGAGTGCCAAATATTTGTACCATACAGTTGAAGACAATTCCATGTTATCAGAGGTATGCAGAATTGATATTCTCTCTAAATAGTTTGCCAAGATACTAATATCAAGATACTAAGGCTAGAGAAAGAATTCATCATTTTACAGGAGCTTGTTTGTACTTGCAAAATGCTTTCTTTATAAAAAGAATTATACTTAAAATCTAAAAAGACTGACATTCAAAAAGGGCACACCAAGGGCAAACACAAGGCTTTCTTTTCTGCCTAGCTAGACAGCAAACTTTGAGAAGTTGTGTAGCAGCTGGAGATCACAATACATGGCACTGTTGTGTTGGCCTTGTTCTTTGAAGAACCCACGAAATGAAGATCAAAATCCAGAGTCTTTGTCCAACTACTTGTGAAACTACTTGTGAACTTATGTATACTATGTATGGACTTGCACATTTTATGATGTAATCTTGCTTTACTGATATATGTGGTCCCTTGTTATTGTTATTAGTTTTGCTTTTGTTACAATATAATTTTCCTTTGCATGACCTTTGTGCACTCCATGGTCTGCGTTATTTATACAGTGCTTGTTTGTTTACTGTACTCAGTGTACTGTGTTATCATTATTGTTTTGGGCCTTGTTCTACTTGACACACTCATTGATTTCTTACTGGACCAATATGGCATTAATTGGTGATACATATTCCAGCATTCGGTGTTGTTCATAAAGTGTCAAGTATTTCTTCTGCTTTATCATTATTAAAGTGCTTCTGGGCATACAAAAACTGGCTCTATTCCTGAATGTTAATGCAATTCACAACTAAGAAAAATGGTTTTTGTTCGTGGAAAATACATTAAAGTTGGCAGGTTAATGTTGGGATTAATGTGGTCGCTTTCAGTCTGTAAAAATGGTGGGCTCAGGAAAAGGAGGTTG